AGGAACCACACAGTTTTACACCAGCTGGCCTTCCACTATTTTTCAGTGAGAAATCATAGTCCTGGATAGACTAAACCATACCCACTAATTGCGCCATCTTGCAAACATGTGAAGCCCTCTAGTCTATGTGTGTTACACATCTCTTTTTGTGCCTGATCACTTCTAAGGAAGTGAATCTGTTGCAACTCTCATTTTGACAGCCTCGCTCTTGCTGTAGACTCTTGCTTTCAGATCTGAAGTCCCTGGGTATGTTTTCTGAGATTGTGGCTATCTCACATTGACATGACTAATTTTACTCATTTTACTAATTTTACTCATTTACTCTGAGCATTAATTTCCACCCAGAACTAAACCTCATACTGATCACACTCACCAAATGCTCACTTTGTACTATCCAAAAGGCATTGCCCAAAGATAGCATAATGTATTATTTTTAACTCTGAGCTAATTAATATTGTGTGTACATTATTGGAATCAGCACAGCAAGCACTTTGTTCTTTGTATTTCATATGACCGTAGGTGTCTGCTGTGCGCTGTCATTATGAGGAACACATTTCTTGCACATGTCCAGTATGATCATATTTTTAGAATATTTTTCCTTAGAGTAGAGATTTCTGTGACATCACAGAAAGCACAACTCTAATTGGCAGACAGGATGGTCTCTTCATTTCTGTCCAGTATAATGATATGGCTTGAAAAACTGTGTGATTGGTGGGCTGAACTCCTATTCCCAGGGGAGAGGTGCCCACTTAAAAAAAATATCACCACAACTGCTGCCCTATTGGTGGGGTCAAAATAGAAGTCAAGGTTTGAATTGCTACAGAGATTTAACTCCTCTTCTGCACCCATGGGTGATCCTTCCAGGGCTCTTCGTAGTCACAGTGGCAAGGCGATATGAGGCAGCTACCACTTCCACAGGCTGTGCTGCACCTGTTCAACTCTAAATCTAGGACTAGCAACGGTCAGAAGCACTCAGGCCTTGACTTAGCCTAGTCCTCAGGCATGTGCCTAAGTCCCATTGACCTCAATAGCACTTACTCAGGTGCTGAAAACTAATAGAACAGGGAAGGTTTTAGAGACATGCTCAAAATTCAGCATGTGTTGAAACAGCCCATTTGTAAGTAAAATGTGAAGAATTTTTTATTTTAAAACCCAAACTGTAGACATGGGTAATATTTTAGTTATCTAGTATCAGAGAGGTAGCCGGGTTAGTCTGGATCTGCAAAAGCGACAAGGAGTCCTGTGGTACCTTATAGACTAACATATTGGAGCATAAGCTTTCTTGGGCAAAGACCCACTTTGTCAGATGCATTTTAGTTTTCTGTAATTTATTATAATAGCACAGCAGTGATGCAGCATCGCATGTATAGCAAGATTGTGCCACCATTGCACACACTGAATAATACCTTACTCAGCAAGATACCAAGGGTTACCATATGCCTGTGTTTTCCCAGACACAGCTTCTTTTTTTGAGCCTCTTTTTTCTGTCCAGGAGATTTGAAAAATAACAGGAAATGTCTGTGGTTTTTGCAGCGTTGAGAAGCTGAAGCTCAGAAAGAGTCCCAATTGATTTCTCCCCTGCCTCTACAGATGATTGGTCTATTCTCCTGTAAGCAGCAGCTGCCAGATTGCACCCACCTTGGCCCTAGCTCCCAGCCTTGGCAATGGGGTCCTGCAAAGAGTCACTGACAGGTGGCTGGTACTTTTGCCTGTCACCCTGCTACTGTAAAAAGGAGTGACATTCCCTCCCACACACATCCAGTGTGTATCCCTGACACAGGGACCCCACTCTAGCTCCTCCTACACTCTCCTCCAACATCTCTTGGTGCCCTTACCTCCAGTTTCTCTCCTAACAGTCTCTCTTTTGGGGGACCTGAAATAGAACCCCAAAGATGTCCAACTCACCTTGGGTAAAACTAATCTGCAATAGTTATAGTGGCAGCCTTGGCCCATTTTTATAATTGGGTTAAGAGGCACATGGAGGTTAAGAAATTTGGCAATGGTCAGATACCAATGGTATGTCTAAATTACATGCCTCTGCTGACAGAGGCATGTAAAATAGGCTACCCGATAAAGTCAATGAAGCGGGGAGGCATAAGGGATTGATCAACAAAGGTGTTCATATTGTTTGTATTATTGAGAAAACATTGGGAGATTTAATTCTAAATACATATGGGAGGTGAGACCTCCCCTTGAATTTCTTTTGCACCTGTTCAACCCCAGCAGTTTCACTGAGGTCACTGGGATCCAGTGCTGTTAGCACCTGATATTTTTAGTATTGGGGATCACGTTGCAGTTTTGGAAGCCTTGTTCATAAAGAATCACACCTCTTTGCTCATATTCTAGCAGTGCCAATGCTGTACAGTTTCACCAGGTGTCATTGACACCAAACGGATTTGTCCTGAGGAGGAAAGAGATTTCAGTTACAATGACCAAATGCCTCCAATGAAACAAATTTTATGAGAATCTTCCTAGAAACTGCTTGTGGATAAACACTGAGCATGGCACAGATTTATTTGGCATAAATTAATACAGCAACAAAGAGCTTTAGCATTGCTTTAGACAACAAGGTTTCTTGGAATATGATATTTAACGTAAGCAAATTACACATTCAGCTTACAGAGCAGTTACACGAGTTTAAGTGGCTGCACATGGAAACTCTGTGTAATTATAGTAAACCCAACCCAGATTTGGACATTTTTCAACCTGCATGGCCGAGACGCTACTTTCATTAGACTGAACCTGCTTCCCCAGAGAGTGCGGAATTGACATTCTTCTGAAAATTTGACAGTTTCCCTGGGCTTGAAGAAAGGCTTAACTGGATATTGCATTATAAAGCCAGCCTTCCTGCTTAACACCTCATTTTTACATCAAAAGCTAAGTAGGGGATGCTTCCAGCCCATTTAATTAGCCTCATTAGTACCAGTCCTACAACGGACAGGTCCCATCCCCCCTTTTTTCTGTTATAGATTCTGGGTTCCTGTTATCCCTCTCCAGCTCATCAGATGAAGGGGTTTTGCCCACGAAATCTCACGATACCATATATATGCATATATATTTAGACTCTAAAGTGCCACAGGACTACTTGTTGTTTTTAAAGTTACAAACTAACATGGCTACCCCTCTGAGACTCATCTATTGGAATATGGATGATCATCCAGTGGCCTCAGTTGAGCATTTTCCTTCCCAGCACATACACGGAGTTGTGCCTTTTATTATGAGTTATACTGATGCTCACTGAAGTTCATATATACGTACAAAGGGTTTAACCTTTTCCCCTTGTTTGTACTTACATATCTACTAACTTTGCAGTGCCCCATTTTTCATAAGCTAAATGTGGTATTTCTTATTTGCTCATTGGCATTTCCATCAATTAACCAGCATAGCAAGTTGAGGTTAAGTTATTGCTAACATCCCATTTCTACAAAAAAATCCCCCAAATATGACAACCCATTTTAATTGGCACCTTGCACTTTTAACTACTATAGTGTGATATATTTCCCCCAAACATAAGCACTTAACAAAACTATTTATTGTAACAGCACATATTATGGTACAAGGTTATCCATGAGTTAACTCCTCATGTCATTCTATTCCTAGGCCTGAGGCCTTGTATTCCAGCCTTAATCTATACTAAATCATTTGTTTCTGTAATAAGCTAATATGTATATGTCAATCTTATACCCCCCCAACTTTCTATTTACTTCAAACCACACAAGCTAAGCTAAGCTTTAACTAAACAGAAAATCCTATAACTTGCCTCTTAGCTTCCATGTACATTATTATGATGATGACCTGAGTGACACAGGCTTTCAATAGAGGCTGTTGGGTGAACTAGTATGTAAATACCATAATCGGGGATCCCTGAATTCTTTATTCACTCCTAAGCCTTCTGACAGTTGACATCCAGAGGTTTTTTGGTCACACATATGTATAGTCCCTACTTATCCCAACTGCCTCTCTAGCCAGTGGAGTACTCATCAGATCACATAACAATCCTGTAAGATACTGGCTGAAATGTCACTGCCTTTTAGGGATAGACTACAGAATCCTTTAACAGGTGCACTGGGATGCTAAACTAAATGGCAGTTTTATAAGTTTTATATAACTCTGTCTTTAGTGAAGCTGTTAGAAGTTTTGTCACTAATTTCACGGCATCGGGTGTTGGCCTTGTATAGATAAAGGGGCGGAGGGCAGCTGGTTGAAATTTTCTGTTTAAAGCTGTTTTCAGTGGAAAATTGTTTTTAAACTAAATTTTTTTTCCAGACTGTGTTTCCTTTCCTCAGAAACTTTAGATTCTTCACTAGAAAATTGAACATTTCCTCCCCCCCTCCCAATTTTTTTTTTTTTAACTAAAAGGCAAAATTGCCTACAGGACATTTTTTTTCCAACTAGCACCATTCCACTAGGATACATTTTCTTCCTTGAAGATGCAGAGTAAAAAGAGTAGGAGTTGTTTATAAACAAATACTAATTTGTCATATGAAAGTTACAGAACAAATAACCAAAGATGAGAAATCCACAAGCAGCAGTGCTTGCAGTCTGTCTTAAAATCACAAACTATAACACACTGTGACACTGCTGCCTTGATGTATTGCAGACAGAGGCACTCTACCAATTAACCTTTCATATCACTACTCACATCAAATGCTCCTTGATTTTGAGAATGTTGCAGATGCAGTCATTGCACACTGTTGAAAACAACTGTTTTCCCCCTCCTATGTTTCATTGGCAAAGCGCATTTAAGGCTACCCAGCACTATTCATTTGCAAATGCAATCTGAAGCTAGTTATTCCTGAAATATACCGGAATACATTCATTCTGGACCTAATAATGGATATTAATATAAGAGATATTAATATGAGTTTCAGATTGCATTTTTGTAACTACATGTGCACAATAGTGTTACTGGAGAAGTTAATTAAAATAGTGTAAATATTTTATTTAGTACATTATAGAAACACAGAACAGGAATGAGTTGTGCTTCATCATGCAGCAGACTGGGATAGAGCCACGTCTCCTAACTCCTGGTCCAGCGATCTGTCGACTGGACCTCTGCTGCCTCTAGCTTTGGGTAAGAATTAATTTTTCACTTGTTTTTTAATTTTTATCTACTAAATATAAGAGATCAAAACTATTTTAAAAGTAGACAATTACTCCCCACACTGGCTGAAGGGCCTAGTCTATTATTTTGTGTGCATCATGCATACTATGCCATGTATTTATATCAGTATAGTAGAGAGAAGATTCTGACGAATCTGGTACCCATGAGTAGTTTAGTGGTTTGTATTCATGGATCCTAACTATCCACACTGAGTCCTTCAGGGGAAAAGACAAAAAATCACAGTCTAGAATTATATATGCACTATTCTACAGAACCACAGCAGTTTATTTTCATACTCTCAGAGTTGTCACATTATTTCTAATTATTGGCATTACACTATATGTACAATAGATGTTCCTAGCCCTGTACTGCTATTGATATTTGTTAGTGTGTTTTATGGGAGTTTATAGATTTTGACTTTGATTTGTCTTGCATGATTATTTGCACAGTGAGTGTGACTGTCACTAGACGTGCCCTGCAATAGTACTTTCTTGTGGGGTGGTTGAAAAGTTTTTATTTGAATTGCCCAAAGACCAGTGATGATGGATCAGTGGTGGAATGCTAGCCAAAGTCCATACCAACACAATCAGTGGCAACTGTGCTTAAAAAACAAGGCCCCAAAAGAGAAGTACTTTAAGGAGAGATCTGAAGGAGGAACGTGAAGTCACACTGAAAGGGACAGCAGCTCCAGCCATAAGGACAGTTTCAGAGAGAGTCTCAAGTATAAGATGATGGCAAAGGAACATTAAGTGACTACAGTGCATAGCTCATACTCAAGCACAGTAAGCTACATGAGATGCAGAGGTAAAATCATGGGGAGCCTTGAACTACTGTTGCATTATTAGTTCACCTTACACTGAAGCGCATCTGTTCATTACTGAGTGATGAAAGCTCAAGAGATGCACCATCCATGCTAGACCAGTTTTACAGGATCAGCATGCGAAATTCACTGAATAGTTCAACTTGCATGAAATGTGACCATGCCACTACTTATACAAACAGCAACACAATGGAAAGTACACATGGAATACGATCAAGCATAGCTGATACAGAGCCCTCAAAAGCCTGTAGTAAGTACACATTTAAAGACTTTCACCTGTTGCTGCAAATCATTCATACCAATGGCATGTCTGTTGACATGCTGATCCCTGACGCAGAGTGAAGAACATCAAAGAAAGATGTGAGCAGATCAAGTCTCAGGTAGACATTGCATCCCCAGTTAGGGATGAAAGAAATGTCAGTAAATTACAAAACAGGTGGAATTGGGGTATCATCTCCACAGTTCTAGTGACGTGAAAAATATTAGCAGAATGAGTTATCAGCTTATGTAGAAACAAAGGAGGTATTTCAAAGAGAACATTCTGAAATGTTTTTAAGGTGCTGTTCTGCTGCTGTAATACCATGTGAAATGCATGGAACCTCTCCTACTATCTTCACTCAAATGAATCTCCAAGGGTATGTCTACACTACAGCATTATTTCAAAATATCTAATTTCAAAATAGTTATTTCAAAATATCTTATTTTGAAATAACGCGTCTATACACAAAATACATTTCGAAATAGCTTTTTGCTATTTCTAAATAGTGCGTCAACACTGATTGGACACTGAATTGCATGTAAAGCGAACCGGAACTGGTTAGAACTGGTTCCAGCAGGGCATCATGTCAGAAGTTACCTTGTGGCCAGGGCAGCCAGCAGGGCACCCTGGGAAGGGCTGAAGGCCCCCTATTTCTAAATAAGCAGCTACACCGCGCTTATTTCAAAATAGCAATTTTGAAATTGGCGCTATTCCTCATGGAATGAGGTTTACCAACTTCAAAATAAGCCCTCTGCTATTTTGAATTAATTTTGAAATAGTAGTTGGCTTGTGTAAACGCTAGAAAAGTTATTTCAAAATAATGGCTGTTATTTCGAAATACCTTTGCTGTGTAGACATACCCCTATTGACTTCAGTGGAATTTTACCTGAGAAAGGATTGCAAGATCTGGCCATACAGCTGATAATAGATTAAAGTGTATACAGTAAAATTTCCAAAAAACTTAGTCAACTTTAGTCAAAAATTCAGATGCTACCATCTTTTTCATGTAGTACTCACCATACCTATTATTTATAGCCACCCACCTTCTTCCTCTCAAATGTCTATTTTTCTGAAATGTAAAAATGTTACTCTCCTTTCATAGGTACTCTGCATTTACTTTTAAATAAAGTAAAGGTTTTACCCCATGTGAGAACTGTATTCTTACAATGACAAGGCAAGCGTATTTATGATCGGAGCCAACAAGTCTGCAAACATATCCTTTGGATATCTAATAACGGGTCAATTTTGGTAACGTTCTTCTGCCTGAGTGCTATATAATCTACAGTTTTTGAACCAGAAAAAAATCTTTTGGAAATTGTGCTGCAAAACACTATCATTTCAAAGCCACCAAATTATAACTTTCTACATGTTAACAGTATGAAAATACATAGAAATTGAAGTCAGACAGCTTGCAAATCAAATATAAAGACAAAGCAGTTTGTAGGTTCTTCATTAGATGTAAACATCTGATTTAAAAATCTATTTGAAATTTAACAAATTCCATTGAAATGCTGAAATAAAGGGTTTCATTCTAATATCAGCCCCATTAATTTTACATTTTTGAATCTCCATTAACTTTAATGGAGTGATTCCTGATTTACAGCTGTGTGACATTAAAACCAGGCCCAAAGAATTCCATAACTTAACATTCACTGGGACACAAACATTAGAATAATGTTTAAAATTCAAGCCATAAAAAACACTCCACCACATAAGCAAATATTTCAGTGAACATGATATGACATTCAGAAGTATAATTAATCCCCATGTCAGGTGAGCCCTGTTTGTTACAGTTTTGCATGTTTTTTCTCTACCTCAGGGTTTGAGTGTCACCAATCACCAAAGTGTCTGAATACCTTCCATGTAAAATCAATAGCAACAATGAAGTCCCTGATTAATTTTATGGAGTCTCTGGTTCTTCTCTCCTTTTAGGGTAAAATCTCTGCATAGAGAAGGGTTTATGTTTTTGGCTTTGAGATTCTATTAGTGTTTTTGTATGGTGGTTTTAGCTGAACTGACTTCATTTAAAAAGAAACTGTTGTTTTTTAGAGGTGTCAGTGTTATGTGATTCTTATGATGTAAACATGTTTTCAAAGAGGAAGGTTTTGCAACATTTCCTAAGAATCATACTCGTGATTTACCTACTCACCTCTAGAAGTTTGTGCCATAGCAGGATCCCTCAACTGAGAATGCTTTGTCTTCATCTCTTATGTGCTCTGTCCTGGGCTTTGGGATTTGCATTAACCCAGAGGAGCACAGCTGTCACAGCCATTCATAAAATCAGAATTTGGTCTTTGATGTAGCTGAGGCTTGATCCATTAATTGCCTTGAAAATAAGGAGTAAGACCTTGACCTGGCACTAGAAGTGGAGTCAGAGCTAATGGGCCAGATATGCTCACAGCAGCCTGCACTATATAGAAGATGGGTAGCTGCATTCTTTGCCAGCTGGACACTGAGAGTTGTTGTAACATTTAGCTTCAGATATACAATCTGCCCTGGAGAAGTTACAAATACATGTATCACTGTAGCCAAGTTTTATTCTGGAAGGGAGAAACTTTCCTAACAAGAGAGGGGTGAAAGGCAACTTTTTCAGCTACTGATTCCAGTCAGTCATCAGAGCTTCATAAAGGGTCAAACAGGAACACAATATTCTGATGAATGGGGCCTGTGAGTCATCAAGGAAGGTGGAGACAACATTTTTGCTGTCATTTTTTACACATTATGACATTTTCGTAGTTGTGTCAGAGTACATCACTCTCTACCCTAGTCTGGCATTATATAAAGGGTGCTGTATGCTTATGGCTAGGTAGATTTGGCTGACAAGATTATTCACAAGCACAGATGTTTGGCAACCAGATCCCGATGTAGCACTGAGGCTTTATAGGGGCCCTCCTAATGTCCCTTTTAATGTCTATAATTTTGTGCACATTAGGATCAACCACTTGGGCTACGTCTAGACTGGCATGATTTTCCGGAAATGCTTTTAACGGAAAAGTTTTCTGTTAAAAGCATTTTCAGAACAGAGCGTCTAGATTGGCACAGACGCTTTTCCGCAAAAGCACTTTTTACAGAAAAGCGTCTGTGCCAATCTAGACGCGCTTTTCCGCAAAAAAACCCCAATCGCCATTTTTGCGATCGGGGCTTTTTTGCAGAAAACAAATCTCAGCTGTCTACACTGGCCCTTTTGCGCAAAAGTTTTGCACAAAAGGGACTTTTGCCCGAACGGGAGCAGCATAGTATTTCCGCAAAAAGCACTGATTTCTTATAGTAGGAAGTCAATGCTTTTGCAGAAATTCAAGTGGCCAGTGTAGATAGCTGGCAAGTTTTTCTGCAAAAGCAGCTGATTTTCTGGAAAAACTGGCCAGTCTAGACACAGCCTTGTTGTGTTGTCCGAATAAGCAAGAATGGAGCGTGATGCTCATACAAATGAGGAAGCTTTGACACTTTTTTCTATATTCTCTGGTAATGTTTGTGAATTATTTTCATTACTCTTTTCTCCTTCATCCATTGCATCTCCCAGACATCAAAGAGCTTGACTCAGCATGTGAGGAATGTCACAATGCAGAAGTACACATAAAAAAGAGGGGACTACGTGTGGGTGTCTCGGAACTAGAGTTTGCCATGAATTCCATGATGTGGATCCTGATGTAAAAGGTCCCCAAAGTTCTGAGGCATTTTGATTTGGAATGAGTGAGCTGTGACAAAGATTACAAAGCTCTCCTGCCTCCAGTGCTGATGTGTTCAGGTCCAAGGGCATTGAGTTGGGCTAGTTTCCACTCTATTCAGAGTTGTTTTAAGGTCTGCCGATAATGGAAGCTGGGAATTTGGTCTATCACCAAAACTGTATCTGAAATACCAACATGTACTTTTCATCATCTCTTTTCACAACTC